CGCTGCCCAGTTATCTGAGGCAATATGTTTAGTGTTTGGGGATGGGCAGTTTGGTACTAGAGAAGAAGAAAACTCAAGGGAACTGAGATTAAGGGATTTAGATGCCAGGAAAGACTGTTGAAGCCTCCGATGTCAAGAGATTGATTAATTTGCAAGAGACTTACAGAACCACCTGCACTTGTTTCTTTGTTGCAGCATCCTGCACCAGGCAGCTGGAAGCTTTCTGTAGAGCAACTCAGGGGTAGAAGCAATATTGAAGTCCTTTCCCTTCCACATAGGTCAAAGAAGAAGAAGGAGAAATCTGAAGCCCTGGAAAACTCACCTCTTAGGCATCTCAGTACAAAGATAGAAAACAAGATAAGAAGCATTTTTTTCTTGTGAAATGCATGCAGAGTACTCCTTTCTCCTCAGGGAGAGGAAGGGGAAGGAGCTTCTTTAGGTCAAGACATTCAGGAAGGCCTGCGGGGTGGCTCATGCCTGTAATCCTAGCACTCTGGGCGGCCCAGGTGGGAGGATTGCTTGAGGTCAGGAGTTTGAGACCAGCCTGAGCAAGAGCAAGAGCCCATCTCTACTAAAAATAGAAAAAATTAGCCAGGCAACTAAAAATAGAAACAAAAAAGTAACGGGGTTTGGTGGTGCATGCCTGTAGTCCCAGCTACTTGGGAGGCTGAGGCAGTAGGATCACTTGAGCCCAGGAATTTGAGGTTGCTGTGAGCTAGGCTGACACCATGGCACTCTAGCCTGGGCAACAGCGTGAGACTCTGTCTCAAAAAAAAAAAAAAAGACATTCGGGGAGAAGAGGGAGACTTGAATGGAAAGAAATTATTCTACTTCAGATGCTAGATGGGACCTCAGTCCCGAAAGAGAGGACGGAGGCCAGGAGTTGTCTGAATGAAAGATGATCCAGTCCCCAAGAAAAGCAAGGACAAACAGATCCCAAAGGAAAACTCAGAGTAAGGAAGCAAGATGCACAGACTAGAGTCTAGGGAAAGGGCTCTGACACCTGGTGCCCCCGCTGTGTCACTGTGGCCACTTTGTTTATAACTGGAAACCCAGTTATATGTGGCTACCTGGTGAAGGGCAAGCTGCAGAAATAGCCTGTCAACAAGTAGGTCTATATGCACAGATATGTCCATCTATAGATGTGTTTTATTTATTTATTTTTCTTCTTCTTTTTTTTTTTTTTTGAGACAAAATCTTGCTCTGTTGCCCAGGCTAGAGTGCCATGGTGTCAGCCTAGCTCACAGCAACCTCAAACTCCCAGGCTCAAGCAATCCTACTGCCTCAGCCTCCCGAGTAGCTGGGACTACAGGCATGAGCCACCATGCCCGGCTAACCTTTTCTATTTTTAGTAGAGAGGGGGGTCTCACTCTTGCTCAGGCTGGTCTTGAACTCCTGAGTTCAAGCGATCCTCCCACCTCCCCCAGGGTGCTAGGATCACGGGCGTGAGCCACCTGCCCGGCCATGCATTTTTATTTAGAATTGTAAGGACACCTATCCACTATCGCCGGGCTCCTGGGCAGGGGAGGGCCAGGGCAGCTCTCACTGCAACTCCCTTTGTATCTTATTGAATCTTTTATGTGGAGAATATAGTCACTTACTTATGAAATAATAAAAAAGAGAGAGAGAGAGAGAGAGAGAGAGAGAAACACCCAAACAAATCACAAAAGAAGACACTAAAACCAAGTTATAACATCTCCCAGGCACCTCCTAACTTCTTCCCCTCCCACTAACATGCTTGCTCTGGAGAAGGGAGAAAGGCTTGTCATTTAATTAAAATGTAAAATACTTTCTTTTCTTCTCTCTTTTTTTTTTTTGGACTGCCTGGTGGCTGGGGATTTTGTGCTGACTCAGCAGAGAATAATCAGCTTTGACCTGAATAATAGCATAACTCAAAGCGGCAGCTGCAGTTGCATAAGCACCATCCAGATCTGCAGTTCCTTCTCTCTCCTTCTCCTCTCCCCCACCCCCTCCAGGCTCTGGGCAGGCAAGCCAGTTACAGCAGGTTCTTTCCGCCTCTCCACCCCCACCATCTGGCTAGTCCCAACTTCATTTCTCATCAGATCTCTTCCAAAACAGCCCCACCACAGAACCAGACTTGACCTCACCTCCTCCCTCCTGCAGCAAACCCTCACTAGGGACGTTGCCACTCTGGCCCTCCCAGGGGGGCCCTGCGCCCTGTCCTCCAGCGCCCTCCACTACACGCCAGCGACTTCTCCACTGAGGTGGCACACTGGATGAAGCCCGTTATCAGCATAACAAAATGAGACAGCAGAAAGCAGAGTTTCCTATGGACATATACGTTCATGTCATACCCAAGCTCTACTGCTTCTGTCAGGAGTACGGCTAGGCTGGGCTACTCTTGGCTGTGCCGCCAAGGAATGCTGGGCCTATTTTATGCAATTGGCTTGCCTGGCACCTGCTAAGAGGATGGGGTGGGCTGGATGATGGTGGGGGTGGGGGGATGGGTGGCTGGTGCTGGAATAAAAGATATCAGCGTTTAATGAAAGACAGCACCCACCAAGCCTTCCTGATAACCTGCTTTCTGTTTTACTGGATACCTTAAGAGATGATTTGAGGGGTCTGTTGAAGTGATAGTCAACAAACCAGAAAACAAAACCTCTGTCCACAGACTCAAAGCAGCTGGGAGTGTCTGGCTTAAGGAAGAGGAGAGAGGAAGCGTGTGTGTGGCTGTGTACGTGTACGTGTGCACCCTGCCGGGGAGTGCAGTGGGGGCTCCATGAGGCCTTCCCAGCTAGGAGGAAAGGACACTGCGGGGGGTGGGGGGTGCCGAGCTGGTTTCCATTTCCCCTGAAGAAAATAAGGAGGAATAAGCTTGGGAATAAGAAGGGTTTAAGAACATTTTTTTGCTTATGAAGTTAAAAAAATACTTGAACACATATCTCAAGGACATTGAAAAATTCCTGTCTTTGGAGAACAAGATTGACTAGAACAAGATTGTTCTACTTAGGAGGCAGAGGACAGACCAGATAAGCTTTATTGGATCTTTGATAGCAGAGATGTGGGGCTGAGGGGGATGCTAATCATTTCTGTCATCAGCCAGAGTGCCTAAATTTTCCCTTGGCTTGGTGCCAACAGTGTCTAGGTGAGGGGCAGGCTGCAGAGATGACTGTGTGCAACCTGTCTTTCTGGACCTGGGCTTACAAGCAGGCGCCATTCTTATCTCCTGGGAGAGTTTGGACCTTTCTGGTCTGAGGGGAGGCCCACGGGCTACACCACTCTGGAGGATCTTTGTGCCAGGGTTCAAACTCTTAGCAGGTTTGGGGAATACAAAGGAAGCCATGGGGTCTAGCCACCCAGAGAACTCCACCCTGTGGCCTGGCTCCTCTCCTAGGGGAGAGACGGAACAGCCTTAATGTTCTTGATTTCTAGTAAGAGGGTCAGGGTGGCCTCTTGTGTGAGGCACTTTAGCAGCATCAGCAGGAAAGAGGAAGCTGTCTGTGTGCAAAAGACGCCAAAACAGCAGTGGCCAGCACTCATGTGTTCCCTCACCCACCCCCGCCATTAGCCTGTCTGATGGCAGAAACAGCAACTCTTCCTGCATTCCCACGCTCTCCTTCCTCCCCGCCCCCCCAACTCTGAATCCAGCTAGGATGCAAGGATGAAGTGGCCCCAGCAGCTTGACATGCCAGCCCGCCCTCAGTGGCCCACATGACTGGGTACTAGGTGCCCAATACTGTGCTGCGGGCAATCCTTACAACCCCGACCTCCTGAGGCAGCTAGGATTATAATGCCCATCTCATGGTGGGGAGGGGCAGGCAATTAGAAAGTGGTGGAGTGGAGATGCAGGCTCAGGCAGCCTGGTTTGGGAGCCCACATTCTTCTGCCTCCAGACCTGTGAGCAGGCCTGATAAAGCACAAGGAATATGCTCCAAACAAGTATTTTAGCCCCACACTGCAATTGGCCTGGGTGACAGGGGTCTATTCCAGGGCTGACCACTATTGCCAAAGAGGGCACACTTGCCAAGGAGACCCGCTCTTCAGTCCCAGCTATCTGCTCCATGAGAGGCTATTGGGGTGGGTGAGTGACAAAAGGAAAATGTCAGGACCTAGGAAACGGTATGGCCAGGATGGACACCACCCTCAGCTAAGTGTGTGTGTTGGAAGGTGTGGGAGGGCAGGGACTGAACTAAGTCTAGAGGTGGAGTCTCTACAACATATCCAAGTGTTTACTTAGAAATGAGTTTTTGATTAAGATGTAAAATACCCCAACCCACTGAGATCACTCATATTAGAGATTAAGCGTTGAGACTTCCTAGAAATACAGCTCTGCAGAACTTCTCTATAAAGCCTCTCTAACCTATTCCAGCTCACAGAGCTCTTTTCCCCTTTCTGAATTTTTATTACAGTTGAATCCTAACCATAAGATCTGCCTATATGGCTTTTTCTCCAGTTAGAAAACTCATCAAGGGTTAGGACCATGGACAAATTTTCCTCCAAAAGAATTTAAAAAGTGTGAGTTGGCAAATTGAGGTAGAAGTAAACACGGATCCTCTTCCATGAAGCAGGAATAATCTTCCTATCAGTGGCTGGGAGAAGCCGATACAATGCGGAGTGCTGGAGAGAGAAGGATCAGGGGACCTGCGCTCCACTCAGGGCCTGCCTCCCTGGGCAAGTCACTTGCCTGGCTCCAGGTTTCCTTATCTGTTCTAGGAAAATGTTAATATTAGCCAGCTTACCTCATGGATTTGTCATGAGGCTCAAATCAGATAATACAGGTGGAAGTGCTGTGTAATGTAAAGAACCCTGCCAGTGAAAATTACTGTGCCTCCAAGGAACTACTTAAGTTTCTTCTATTTTTAACACCAGATAATTGTATGCAGAATCCATTCATCTAGAACTCACTTGTAGGAAATTGAAAGAAAAGTAATGGGGGTAAAAAAAAAAAAAAGGAGGGGAAAAAGAAGAATCAGAGACACGTGGACCACCAGGGAGGCTAAAAGAGGCTGTCCTGAGAACAGTGCTCCCGTGACACTTACATAAGCAGATGGCAGCCAGGAGTCGAAGGCCAGACTCTGGGGGGAAGCAGGTGGGGAAGAGCGGCTGCAACACGTAGTTGGAGAAGGTGAGGGCGATGACAGCCTGGTTGGTGGGGTAGATCACCAGCACCGCAATCCACAGCCTCAGGAACCTGAAGGGGGAACAGGACACCCCCGCTGGCAGGCATGGCAGGGTTTCCGGGTCATCAGGGGAAAGCCCGGGCACGTTGGGCAAGTAGGTAGGCGGCTGGGCCGTTAGAGAGGCAGCAATGCCTTTCCTTTTTTTGTTTTCATGGATGCTGAAGAGCCCAGCCCCCACCCTCAGCCCTCCGCAATGACCATAAAATGGTTTAATGATGAAGAGCTAAGTTTCGACTAGCACTCACACAAGTCTTAGCATCTTTTCTCTCTTCCCTCTCCTTTTGTCAACTCTTCTCTACTGCTCTGGCCCCTGGTATCCAATGGTGGAAATATAAAATTTGCAGCCCCAGAATTGTGATAGCCAGGACGCGCCAAGCTACTTAAGCAACTGCCAGGGGAGGCAACGAGTGGGGGTTTGCAGGGGTGGCACCTTCCACATCCTTTGGCCCTTTGGTGAGGGTTGAGCTCTTTTGTGGCAGGGTTTCAGAAGCTGAGAAATTCAAGATCAGGGCCTGACTCTAAAAGGAGGTCATTATCTTTGGTAATGTGAGAAGAGGGTACACTGTATGTTAGGTGGTCACTCGCATTTGTCAAGAAAGAAGGGCTTTGTTTTCGTGACGTGCTTTCTCTGGGAGTCTATGGTCAGTGTTGTTACATAGTTGTTTGTTCTCACTCATAGAATCTCTCCCACTAAGATGAACATAGAGATTAAAATTACAAACCTGGTTCCTCTGTCACTCTCAGAAGCATCAAGGGGACGCAAGGCTAAACTAGCAACCATGACATGGAAGCAAAAGAGAAATCCCATTCTCTAGTCCCCCTTGGCACGCTGGAGACCAGAAACCCCTGGCCTTGTCTTCCTCCAGTCTGACCTCTTTCTATACCATCTTTCTCCTTTTCCCTGAGATCATTCAGGCTTTCGCAGCTTCTCTTACCCAGCCAGTCCTCCGAAGATGTCTTTGACATAGGAGTAGTCACCTCCAGATTTGGGGATGGTGACCCCGAGCTCAGCATAACAGAGGGCTCCCACAGCAGTGATGAGACCTGTCACGATCCAGACGATGAGAGCGAGGCCCACAGAGCCGGCATTCTCCAGCACGCCCTTGGGGGACACAAAGATTCCGGAGCCAATGATGTTCCCTGCACGAAGCACCAAGGGTAAGGAGGGGAGACAGCAGAGTCAAGACAGCTGGCAGGATTGGCATTTGCAGGTGGTCTCACCTCTGGTCTGATTCTAAAACGCCTCTGAGATGTGTAAATGATCTTCAGGCAGGCATGCCTAGCAATAATTCTCCCTAAAGTCAGGGTAAAGAGGACCAGAGAACTGACACGTATTAACCAGGAACTTGGTCAGGTACTTTGCACATCTCGTTTAATCTTTAGGACAGCCCTATGGAATCAAATATCATTTCTCACATTTTACAGAGGAGGAAACAAAGTCTCAGAGATACCAACTGAAGTTGCCTACATCTACACAGTAGTAAATTATTGTACAAGTATTGAATCTCAGGACCCTCTAACTCAGCTACACATGGTCCACCCAAGGTGACAAGGGCCTCAGGATTGGCTGAAAATGGCAGGGCTGGAAAAGTGGGCTGCTCTCAGAGACCATCTGCCATCTAGAAGGCTTCAAAAATGAGCCAAAGAGCAGTATCTTTTGGACAGACTGTGGTCATACCCCATGACTAGGGGTTCTCAAGACCTGTGAGTGTGGGCAGCATTCCTGGAGGCTGGCTTCTACCCCAGACATGACAGCCCCACCCTTGGTGAAGAACATGAAATAACCCCATAAAAATAGTCCTGGTTGTTAGGAGGTAGTGTGTAGAAGTGCAGTACGTGCAAAGCCTCAGCACTTCTTTCAAAGGTCATTGTCTCCCAATGTTTCATGTGACCCTCACCACAATCTATGGAGTTTAGGGAGAGGGAGAAGGACAGGTGTTTCTCCCTCTATTTTACAAACTAAGAGACTAAGACACAGAGGGGTTAAGTGGCTTTCTCCAAATTCCACAGTTACTGATGGGTAAAATTGGATCTAGAAGTCAGTCTCCTGATGCTTAACCCAGTACTCTTTCACTAATCCACTTCTGCTTGTGTGTGCAAGGGCTGGCTTTCTCCTGAGAGCGGATGTCAGCAGCCAGTACTGGGTTGGGGGCTAGTGGGCTGTGTGTGTTGGGCAGGGGAGGAGTAAGAGTGTGGAGGGCATTCCTGACATGCTTCCTCCCAAGTTTTCCTTTGTCCACTTCTTGTAATTAAAGGTGGTAGTCAGGGTCCACGGGGCGGGTGCTTTGAAAGCCCTCTCTTCATGCCCTGCCAGCGGCACCCCTCAATGCCTGAGGGAAGAAGCAGAGACTAAATGGATCCAGATGGAAAGGCAAAGCTGGAGTAGAGCTGAGTTGGATTTGACAATGTTCTGAGAGCATCTCAAATTCCCACCATCTCTCTACAGTGGTCTGAAACCAGTGATATGGAGATTGTAAGGTTCTATGCTCAACTTTAAAAAACTGGCTTTCAGATCTCAACCATGAGTCAGCATCAATCCGGTCCTGAACTTTTGTTTCTAAACCAAAATTCAGTTTTTTATTAAGCTCTTTTAGTTAAAGGGGAAGAGAAGAGAACATTCACATTCTAAAAGCAATGACCTTCTATTCCTCTTGGATACAGAATATGCTCTCCTTTTCCAAACAAAAAATTGCAGTGTGAGATGAGTAATGAGGTGGGGGAAGAGATCCAGAAGAGAAATGTAGACTCAGAGGGCACAGGCCAAAGCTAGATACAAATGAAACAAAATCACATTTCTGTCACTAACATGTCTTTTTTCCTTTAGTGCTAACAGCCTATCCTCACAGAACAGGGCTGCTTATAGAAATGAAACTAAAAGAAGAAACAATCTCTCATCATTAAATTTGTGATATAATTCTCAGTCCAAGAGAAGATAGAGAATAAGATTCTGAGTGCCACCAGTCCTTACAGACCCTTCCTTCTCTTGTAGGTTTATGTAAAGTCCTACAGTAGGAACAAGAGTACATCTTTCAGCCCTCCGCTCTCCTCTATCAGTCCCCATATGTGCTTTGCGGAAGTGTTCGGTTGGCGGAGACTAAAAGGCCCATTTGCTGGGTGTGGTGGCTCACCCCTGTAATCCTAGTACTCTGGGAGGCTAAGGCAGGAGGAACGCTTGAGGTCAGAAGTTCGAGACCATCCTGACAAACACAGTGAGACTCCATCTCTACAAAGAGTGGAAAAATTAGCTGGGCATGGTGGCTCGCACCTATAGTCCCAGCTACTGGGGAAGCTGAGGCAGGAGGATCTCTTGAGCCCAGGAATTTGAGGTTGCTGTAAGCTATGATGATGCCACTGCATTCTTCCCGGGGTGACAGAGTAAGACTCTGTCTCAAAAGAAAAAAAAAAAAGAAAGAAGAAAGAAAGAAAGAAAAAGATCCACTTGTAGTATCCTATAGTATCCTAGGGCTCAGGCCATATTCACCCTGTCCAGTGACTCTATACCTGCCAAAACGAAATGTGTGGCTCTTCCCTGGAAGACCCCAAGTGCTGGGTAATGAGAGAACTAGGGACAAGCTTGCTAATGCTGTTGAAAGATGATAGTAAATTCCTTGCCTAGCAGGAATTTATCAAAAGGGTGGATCTATAGGGCATTTCAAAGCCAGCCAAGAAGTGAGCAATAGAACTAGAGTTATAAAACCAGCTCAAGGGGTTAGAAAAACAATCACTACCGGGAGAAAAACAAGGTTTGACTTTGGTCCTTAAGGCACTGAAAAGGGAGGGGTGTACAGCCAGGCATTTCTTAGATACAACAATGTTTGTTGCGAGGGGAAATGTCGGGGATGGGTGTTATTTGAAAGATTTGATCTTTTCAGGAATGAAGAATGTCAATGTTCCACTAAGGGTTCTTGGGAAACAAATACTGCAATGGGATTAGTAAATTGAGATCAGTAAGTGCTTCTCTTATGTTTTTTTTTTTTTTTTGAGACAGAGTCTCACTCTGTTGCCCTAGCTAGAGTGAGTGCCATGGAGTCAGCCTAGCTCACAGCAACCTCAAACTCCTGGGCTCAAGTGATCCTACTGCCCCAGCCTCCCGAGTAGCTGGGACTACAGACATTAGCCACCATGCCCGGCTAATTTTTTCTATATATTTTTAGTTGACCGATTAATTTCTTTCTAATTTTTAGTAGAAGTGGGGTCTCGCTCTTGCTCAGGCTGGTCTCGAACTCCTGAGCTCAAACAATCCGCCCGCCTCGGTCTCCCAGAGAGCTAAGATTACAGGTTCTCTTATGTTTTTGCTCTGACATTTCCATGGTGTGCATGCTCTTTCCCTGGTTCTGGGTCACAGCAGCCACTGGAGGATGGGATGTGCAACACTAACTGCCCTGTGAAGGGTCTGACCCCTTGCTGCCTCCACTTATTCTTGGAGGCTCCATGACCTTCCAGGAAGCTGCCAGAGTGATTGCGACAGTCATAGCAGATTGGCATTGGGACAAGAGTCTTCACTTTATAAAAACTGGGTTCTTACTCTCCAAAAATCTTAATTTTGACCAAATTAAAATTACAAAGATAAAAGCTAAAAAAAAAATTGAGCTACGCCAGCCTACACTGAGTGCTCGGGAATGGGGAAAGAGAGGAGTCTCTCTCTCTGATTCTTAGGAAACCACTACCTAGAAAACCAGAATCTGAGAACATTTCCTCCACCATGGCAGCCTCTGGGACTTCTACAGGGAGAGGAACATCATTCACAGCAGAGCCATGTTCTGGAGCTGAAAGAAAGTTTACATTACATTTACTGAAAAGTAATGTCTACTATCCACAATCTTTAGTGTGATTATTTAATAAGTATTTATGCCCCCCACTAGACTGTCAGTGCTATGAGAGCAGGAACTATGCTGCTTTCCCTCATCTGTGAAGGGTCATCTAGCACTGCTGTCTCCAACCCCCAGGGCTGCAGACCGGTTTTTCTTACTCATCAGTGGCCTGTTAGGAACCCGGCTGCACAGCAGGAGGTGAGCAGCTAGTGAAGTTTTATCTGTATTTACAGCCACCCCCCATGGCTTGCATCACTGCCTGAGCTCAGCCTCCTATCAGATCAGCAGCAGCATTAGATTCTCATGGAGTGCAAAGCCTACTATAAACTGTGCGTATGAGGGATTTAGGCTGCGCACTCATTGTAAGAATCTAATGCCCCCTGGTCCGTGGAAAAATTGTCTTCCATGAAACTTCCATTGTCTTTTTGGTCCCTGGTGCCAAAAAGGTTGGGGACCACTGATCTAGTAGACATCCCATAAATGCTTAATGAATACCTAATGTCTGCCATCATTTGTAGCATCTCCACAGAGGAATTTAATATACCTATTTCTTTGGAACCTCCAAATCCTGTGAGAATGTTGAATGTGTATTGTAGGCAAATGAGTGAAGCAACCCACTTATTTCACTGCTGAGTAGAGTAGATTGGCTGTGATTGCCATCTCCAATTTACAGGGGAAGAAAGTAGGGCAACTATCAGTCTCACTTTCCAAATGGGGGAATGAGGGAGGTATTATTATCCCTATTTTATGGAGGAAGACCCAGAGAGGTAGTTATTTGCTTAAAGCACAGGGTAAATTAGAAATAGCTGGATTGGAACCTAAATCTTCTGTCACAACCTCAAGCTTTTCCCTGAAAATGAAAGGTTGTCCTACATATACTGGGGTCAGTCTTATCTGCTCCACTCCATAGGCAATGAGAATGGTGACAGAAGGTGTTTACTGAAGCATTGGAACACAGATCTGATTCCTTCCTTCTGTTGCAGCAGCACCTTCAGTGGTGATATACAAAACATTCACATCCCTCACCTTACTTGATTCTCTGAACTACTTTCTTAGGTGTGCGAGGCAGGTACTATCATTCCTATTTTACCTTTGTGAAAACCGAGGTCAGAGAGGTGAAGGGACTTGATGGGAGTCTTGCACTGCTTAAGTAGCAAGGCTGGGATAAGAGGCTGAGGCCTTGGACTCCGGGCCCAGGGTTTCCTCCACCACTCCATGCCGCCTCACCTCTGGAAATTGCACAACAGACACTTTAACTGCAGGGCTTTTAAACTTGGACACTGTCCAAATGAGACTTTTTTGGACCAGCTTTGTAAAAGAACTGGGAAA